CTCAATTGTCTGAATATGAACATTATAGTTGGGTGACCAAACACAAGAACAATACTCCAAATGGGGCATCACCAAAGAACAAAACAACGCTTTAAATGACATAATATTCTGAAAATCCTTAGCACTCTTTAGAGGACAACCTTCTATGGTATAAGTATGATCAGTGGGGTCCCTGTTACGGCTGAAGACCATTAAACGACATTTTTTCACATTAAGTTCCATTCTATTCATTTGACACCAGAGACTTAATGAATTCAAATTATTTTGGATATTTAAACAATCATTATTATATTCAATTTTTAAGAATAATTTCAAATCATCTGCAAGCGTTAGAAAACTAACAGACTTAAAACAGTATACAGGGTTATCCAAATTAAGTGTCCACCATTAGTAACTTTGTTATTAGTGAAAATACAAAGTTGTTTGAATTAGCAAACTAGTAGCATTTTTAACGCTGGTAAAAATGAGAAATAAAAAAAAACAATTGAGAGTCGTTATTTTGATTTTTTTCAGTAAAATAACATTTTTTTAAATGGAAACCCCTGTATATTATATTTTTTTCTGTTAAAGCATCAAATTTTAAACAAAAAAGTTCATAATGACTTTTCCGCTAAAGTCAAAAATAAAGTCAAAATAACGATAAATATTTTTAATTATTTGCAGTATTATAATATTAAGACGGCTATGAAAACAACATGGCGTTCGCGATTTGACAGCATTAAGATAAGCGACAAATTGTTAAACTGGACATACTCGCAACTAGAAGGCTTTGGAAAACAATGATAAAATCAAATAATGTCAAACATTAGTGTAAATACTTGTTTATAAGCTTTATTGTGTCATTAATTTAAAGAAAAATGTTCTCCCATGAAGAAAAGTGTGATATGTTAGAATGCTATTTAGTGTGCAGAAAATCCTCCTTGAGAGCAAGAGAATATACAGTGAATTATATCCCGCTCGCATTCAACCGTATGAACGATATTTTCTGAGACTTTATCGAAAATTTAGGGGCAACGAAAATGTTTTTGCTAAAACAAGGGCAAAAAAGAATTCATAATAAGCGAGGCCACGGAAATTGCAGTTATTGGATATTTTGAAGCTTATCGTGAGAATTCAATAGCAGATATTGTCAAGGACTCTAATTTCAGTTATGGTACTGTTCAAAGGATTTTAAAAAAATACAAATTTATTCCGTATAACGTAAGTACCGACCAGTTCAAACGCTTTTGGCAGGGGATCCAGAGAGAAGACTTGTTTTTTGCCATTGGTATCTTAGCTTCTGTCGCCAAAATGTAAATAACTTTCGTTACCTTTTATGGACAGATGAATCAAATTTTTCAAATTCTGGAATGTTTAATAGAAAAAACCACCATTACTGGTCAAGAGAAAATCTTTTGTTAGTACATCCAAGAGGCCCACAAGTCCGTTTAAGTTTCAACGTTTGGTGCGGTATAATTGGTTCAAAAATTGTTGGCCCGTTCTTTTATGAGGGAACCCTAACTGGTGAAAGATATGTGGAATTTATGTCAGAAATTCTGACTAATTTCTTAGACGAATTGGATCTTATAAGTAGACATCATCTGTATTTTCAGCAAGATGGCGCACCTGCCCACAACTCCAGAGGTACTTATCATTTTCTAAGTACTACTTTTAATGATCAGTGGATAGGAACAAATGGCCCAATACAGTGGCCTCCCAGATCACCAGATCTAAACCCACTTGATTACGTCTTGTGGGGTTACTTAAAGAACCAAATTTACAAGCGAAGGTACGATAACCTTGACGCGTTAAAGACTGCAGTTAGGGAAAAGATAACCCAGATAGATGGTAGGACCATACTTAAGACAGTTCGAGCAGTTGAAAAACGTGCCCAAAAATGTATTGAAGAACAAGGTGGTGTTTTCGAGCATCTTCTTTAAAAAAAATTGTTATTGTATTTTGTAAGATTATAAGTTGATGTTGAAAATAAAGTTTGTCGATACAATTTAATTGTTTCAGATTGGAGGCCATAACTTCAACAATTTGTAACCTAGGAGAAAAGTTATTGTAAGCTTTTTTGTTTAAAATTTGATGCTTTAACAGAAAAAAATATAATATACAGGGGTTTCCATTTAAAAAAATGTTATTTTACTGAAAAAAATCAAAATAACGACTCTCAATTGTTTTTTTTTATTTCTCATTTTTACCAGCGTTAAAAATGCTACTAGTTTGCTAATTCAAACAACTTTGTATTTTCACTAATAACAAAGTTACTAATGGTGGACACTTAATTTGGATAACCCTGTATAGTATCATTCACGTATATATTGAAAAGAAGAGGACCCAGATGGGAACCTTGAGGTACTCCAGATGGCACATTAATCTCATTTGATTGAAAGCTTTGTATACGCACTATTTGTTTTTGGTCAGTGAGGTAAGACTTCAGCCATGAGAAAAGATCTCCGCAAATTCGTAGACAATAGTAACAATAAGTTACATTATTAATCAAGATCTCATGGTTGACCTTATCGAATGCTTTAGAAAAATCTGTATAAACTACGTGAACAGAATAACCTTCCTCCAAGGATTCCAAAACATAGTTTGTGAATGTCAAAATATTTAACTCTGTGAAGCGTTTTGAAAGAAATCCAAACTGTTGGCTTATAAAACTACTTTGAACATTTGCAGATAAAAATTCACACACTAGGCTCTCAAATACCATTCCAATGCAACTCAGTTTACTGATAGGTTGGTAATTCTTGACTTGTGAAGGATCTCCAGATTTCAGTATTGGAGTAATGCAGCTTGTTTTCCAACATTCCGGAAAAGTTTCACTTAAATTAAAAATATAAAATAGAGGTCTAGAAATCAGAAAGCTTCAATGTTCAACCAACAACGGAGGTATACCTTAGGCAACGCATATTCCTTATTTCAGCTTGTTTCACCTCACCAATCACTAATGTTTGAAAAACCATGTTGATTGAATCACTTTACCAGAGAGAACTGACAAAGAACACAATAATGAGAACTAATAACGGAAGTTATATTTCCGTTGAAAAATGCGGGATACTTAGTTGATTCTCTTCAGTAATCCTTCTCTTTTTCCACTTTGCTCTCTTTCTGGTTCCTGAATTTTCCTGACCTTAGAGATCTACGTTCCAGCTACGACTCTGGATCCAAGATCATACAGATTATTTTAATAACCAACATTGACTTATATCAACTTTGGTGTTGTCCATTATGACCTGTTGTCTACATACAGGTAGGGTAATTCCGAAAATGGACAGGTTATAACTAATAATGCGAGCAAGTGCCAAGAAGACTGGCAAGCTTTACAGTAAAGAACTTACTATATCCTTAACAATATTAGATGTCTATTCTATATACCTACTCATAGAATAACTCCTCCTGTTTACAGCTTTAAGCGGTATCATGGCACTCTAGGATATAAAGCAATAGCATGTCAGAAACAAACATGAAATAGAACATATGTTGGTTGTTGATCCTGAGCTAGACTTAGGAGTGCCCGTGCTAAGTTAAGAACACAGCAGTGAATTGTATTTCTTAATTACAATCCCTAAAGCGGTGAAAGAGGTTCCACAGTCCGGGGTCAAGGGTCTTTTTGTGAATTTTTCGACATGACCAACGTGAAAATTCTGGTAGGAGTTGTATCACGTTATGATTCTACCTATTGATGTACTGGGGGTCATGGAAGACCACGCGCTGCAGGGTAGAAGGGTGGCTCTCGCTGTAATATTGTAAAATGTTTTGCATCCCCGTCACGTGGTAAAGATTGGATCTTCTGGATAGGTCACTTCTTGGTTGCCTAAACTCCTCTAGTTCTCTCGTCCATTCGTAGGCAAGCCCTTAAATGCACAATTCCCAGCCAATAAGTCATGGCGTAAACAAAATACGGTCCGAGACGAATGACTATTAATCATCCCCCGCCTGGGGCTATTTATTTCCTCCTCACAATGTAACGAGCGTCAGTGGGCGCTTAACTTATCGGAGATAACTTCCGAAAGGCTCGCAGGCTGCGCTACATAATAGGGAAGAGTGATTGTAGCTCATGGTGTCAGGAGTTACTTACATTTATTATTACAATATGTCTTCGTATACTACAAACATTCAGCAATACATGTGATGTTAATATTTATGATGATATGGGCTACAAGTATCTAATGATACATGCTTGTAGAATTTACTATGATAGTGCTATGTCTTAAATAGAAAGGCAATAGGTATCATAAACTAGTCCATAGATGTTCTTAGCAGCAGAGCTTCTGCAGAATCTTCTTATCGCTTTCACATTAAATTGGCCGCTAAGGAGTAAGAATGAATGGCTAGTCCGTCACGATAATGTTGCAACACTTTCGAAATTGTAACTTCCATGGTAGGTATATTTAGGCCAGACAAATTATTTTATTTGTAACATACCAATTCATTGCTCACAACATGAGATGCCTTCGATTGCAGACTTTGAAGAATCTAAACGAAATAGGTTTGATGAGTGACTTGTAAATCAGTATCTTATCCTATAGTATATAGATGAATTTTACTGAACTTTATTCCTAACTGCTTCCTTTTTGTAAAAAATGTGTTTTCTCCAGTCCATTTTTCAGCCTTAGTCCGTCCAACGTATTTGGCATGGCCTAACTGCGGTAATGTGTGTTCAATATTACTGGTGAGCAGATCTCGTTGTGAGTAGTAAATGTTACTTGTACTGATTTTGGGGCTACTGGAGCATTATTGCCTAATTCTCAATAGCTACGATTATTGGATATAGCAGAAATGTATTTCGGTTGAACGTATCGAAATTTGTGATTTTGGAATGTCAGAACATATTTGAAGTCACAATTGATGAAGACAAAGAAATCAGGGTCCCGGTATAGAATGCCAAGATTAAAGAAAATCATTCTGAATAAATTGAATCCTACCACTGTTTCACAACTAAATATAGACTGGAGAAGTCAAAATCTACATTTACCAACATTATTGACACATTGACCATATTTTCTTACCGTATCCATTAGAGTATGGTTGAGGAGAAGGGGAGCTGTACAAACTCGACGTGTGCCAGGTCGGTTCTTCTTGGAAAGCTGAATTCACCGATCCGGTCTCCAAAACCGCCTCCCATGGTGACTTGACCATCTTCAGGCGAGGACGCAAATCCTGTAAAACGTGTATATGATGATAATAATGTTTGACTCTAGAGACTAACCACTTTTATATCATCATTTTCAACGTCCTTCCTAGCACATAGTTTTCAGTACCTTCTAAACAGCTCCAGTGTGGAGCAATTTTAGAGCTTAAGTTACAGAAAAACTGTTTTGTCCAAACGTATACATAACGTTCTTCTCATTTCCTCTATGAACCTATTTTTAGGAGATAATATGCGCCCATTAGAATACCCTGCTCAGAGAGGCATCATTCTACTTCTGAGAAACTTCAGTTTGCCTCGCTTTTGAATAGCTAACAGAAAAATATAAAGCTCCTGTACTTAGGCAGTGAAGCTCATTTACTGATTCTTTTTGATTTTGGCGACAATAATTGATATGATAACAATTAGAGCATATATCGATGATCACGTATTCAACAAAAATTGTTATTTTTTCACTTTGTCAAATATGCCATATTTATTACATTTCCTAGAGCATCTAAACAGTAAACCAATGTCTTTATCCTCTGTGTGACACAAGTTTACAATTTATATAACATATGACGTTTACTTCTCCAGTTTTTTTATGTACAATTGTATTATTTGTAAGGTATTTATTATTTTTAATGATTACTTTTGCTCCGGGAGAATAATTTTCAAAAATATTCCTCGCTTAAGTTAACATAATTATTAAATGTAATTATATACTTAATAAATGTAATTGTTAGATGTTGGAAAGGTTTGTTCTTGTTCTATTTATGTGAACTGTGTGTTGTGTATTTTAGTCGATACATTAATGCTCATACATATCTTTATATTGAACAGTCGATGGCGCATACAAAGAATTAAAGTACTTTTATAGATAATTGTATTCTCTGCAATTTTTGTATTAGGTGTGTTTGTAGTACTTCTTTCCCTTTAAGAGAAATATGAGAACACGATATTTCTGACAATTCTACCCAAATAAAACAAGGCTTAGCGCCAATGATATATGAGGAATTTTGATACATTATTGATAATGGTGTATTCAAGATCTGTATCAGTTTTCAGGGAATTCTTGCAAACCTCTTATTTTGACTAAATTATTTTCTGCGTTGTTCGAAAAAATCCAGAATATTGAATTCATTTTTCTCAGACTTACTTTTTTACACTTTATTGCCTTTTATCTAAGTACCGCAGTGTACTAAAGGAGCTGCCATATCCAATGCTCATTCTCCAAGATGACGATAAAGGTGGGATTTATGCTAATATCACCCAGAACAAATGAAAGAAAGTTCTCTGAATAAAAATCCGACGAAGCCATGAAATATTTAAGGCAGAACCATCTGAAATCTATATTGAGGAAGATAATTTAATCAATTAAGCTGGTAACCGATATCGTAGTGTAGTAAAACTTTATAAATCATCAAAAGAACTTAGAGTTACATAGAATTCATAGCGCTATTAAAATAATCATTAAGCACGTCTAGATGTATTCTTTAAAGCAGTAACGATAGGTACGTATTTCGGTTGAACGTTTGCCAAAACTATTTAAATATTAAAACTGTTATGTCCGGTTTTTCAATCTCAAGCTAACTTTCTGGTTAGTTAACTATAACTTGTTGTTGTCTACAAATGCGTTTTTCCAGTATTTTGCTAGCGCCAGTTAACTTACCAAAAGTTCATCATATATATGTACCATCTTTTATGTCGGTATGTAAACATGAAATAATTTTGAAAACGAAAAACTGATTTATATATATCTAGTATTTTTTTTAAATATGGTCCTTTACAATTTATTGAGACTAGTTTTTGAACGCAACATCTATCAAGTGGCCACCTTTATTGGTCAAAACAAAATGTGCACGTTTTGCTGCGTTTTCCATTATTTTTTCGAGCATCTCTGGTGGTATAGCGGCGATTGCGGTACGAATGTTGCCTTGAGTTCTTCAGTGGTCTGGGGCTTGCTGGCGTACACTTGACTTTTCAAATAACCCCACAAGAAGAAGTCCGGTGGGGTCAAATCTGGAGACCTGGGTGGCCAGTCAATGTCACCTCTTTTTGACATCAGACGTCCAGGAATTTTCGTTGCAGAAACTGGATTGTTTCATTTGCAGTGTGGCATGGCGCAACGTCTTGTTAAAACCAGTCACCATCAAGACCTTTTTTCACTCATTTGTGAGCAGACATAGTGAGCCGACATCCACCGATATCGATTTCCATCGACTGTTTCGTTTTCGTTGAAGAAAAATGGCCCAATGATGGTTTTGGCGCAAACACCGGCCCAAACAGTCACTTTTCGGTCATGCAACGGCATTTCGTGGATCACATGTGGATTTTCCGTTCCCCAAATGCTTATTAACGCCGCCAGGGGGCATGAAATGGGCCTCGTCGGTCATCAGAATTTGCTTGCAAAATCAGGTTCAGCATCAACCATGCGAGCGACTGTTTGGGCGTATGCCAAGCAACGTGGACGGTCGGCAACATTTTTCTGTTAACTGCACCTTATAAGGAAACAAATGCAAATCATCCTTCAAAATGCGCCGCAACGTGGTTCCACTGATGCCAAAATGCTGAGCGCGGTGACGATACGACACTTCTGTGTTCTGGGCAACACTGTCTCGGCCGCTTCAACCAATTCATTGGAACGTCTTGGTCGTTGATGAACGGTATTGACGATCTCCCACTTTTTGAAGATTAAAGGAACACTCTCAGTTTGAAAAAAGGTGGGAGTTCAACACACAATAGATATGTAATTAGCTGCACATCCACCAACTTTTGAATTCGTTACTAGTGGTGTTGATTCTCGTTACTTTCGAGTACTCGTTAGTAATTGTTACTCTTCTAGAAAGTAATCATTTATTGTATTAGTTACTTTGATTACTATGAGTAGTACGAGTATAACGATTTGGCAACGTGCGTCGTGTTCAGTGGAACCGAATCCTTTAAGAAAGATAGACGGCCCTAAAATGTTTTGCATAGTTTATTCAAATCTACCGTGTTTGATGCAAACATCGTATCTTCAAACCTTATGCTTATCGAGATGGGTTATCATAGGATAGAGTGTCATATGAGCCTATAAACTGAAAATATTTTGTATTTACTAGAACATGTCTTTTGGTCAGAAAGATGATCTGTATATGGGCTTAATTAAATTCGAAATGGCAAGTAACTTTTCAAAGCATTTCAATTATATATCAGTATAAAAATTCTACGTGGAGCTTAGTCTACACATTGTCTACTATTGGTGGTCGTACTGAATTATAATTTTTGGCAAAACAGTACAAGTAAACACGAGTCAAATTGACATAATATTTTATTATTGCCGTTTTCCTGAACGGTGCTGAGACCTTGTTGTCGCTTTTCTGCCTCATGGTACTGCCGAACTTTGTTCCAATCCAATCGACTCCCCATTCCTTTTCAGGTTGCCAAGATCACAACAATAAAAGCGAATTTGAGTCACGGTGTAAATGGGTAAACTTAATTTTTTTGATTGGCGGACATAGCATTTGGTAACTGTTTTCAAATCTGAAGTTTCCAGGTTTCCACCCGAATGTGGCAACTGATGTATGAGCGACGGTGCTACAGTGAAACCAGCCACTCAACGATCAACGATTGTACAGGTACCGGGTAGGGATACGGAAAACATAGTAATCAAAGTAATCATTTCCTGCTCGGATTGGTAATCGTTACTTCAGGTATCTATGAGTAACGAGTATTCGAGTAACGAATAGTTACTTTTTTAACACCACTAGGTGTTACATCCATGGTGGGACCTTTATTGAACCATTTTGCTATAAGCGTGTATAGGTATCCTGCTGAAAATTGCTGAACTAAACCATTTTGCGTTTCAGCTGCTACAAGGCGTATTTGTTAACATTGTACGTAACCGCTATACTTTACGAGAACGGTACATCCTAACAGAAACGACAATTGGAATGATAAGATCTAGTAAGTGTCACTTACGTCTAGTTGCGGACTTATCGGTGGCAATGGAGATAACTTAGGCTCAGGTTGTGGTGTAACAGGTGCGGGAGTGGGAGCCTTCTCTGAGTTGTCATTTCCAACGACCCATTTTTCAGATCTCTTCCGGCGCTTGGCAAATAATTCTGCACCTGGAACAAAAAAATGATTTCTAACATGAATTAGATAATGATACAGAAGTTGTGCAGGTGGGTTCAAAAATTCAACGTGCAACTATATACAATATGTTACTAACCAATTTTTATGTATTGTTTTATGAAATTTCAGCTCCGGTTGCTTTGATCCCGAAATGTATTTGGCTCGAAGTAGCAAAATGTCGTCGAAGAAGCTAGGTTGAGGCATTTTAGACATAGGTCTAAAGTACCAGAAGAGGCAGTTGCAATGACAATGTGCTAATCGTGATACTCTAGCTGGAAGACTTGTAACTATGGTATGAAACTTTGTTGCGCTTTGGTCGAGCTTTTGTTCATATCCCGAAAAATATTTGCTGTCGAAGTGCGCCCTTAGGGAATAAGTTCTACAAAAATTGTCACAAAAAACTTCCAACTCACCAACTACAGATCGAGAAAGGATGCTTCTGGTTTTATTCACGTTTTTTCAGGTGAGAATACATTTCAAGGAAACCTACTTATCCCGAAGGGAATAAATACCATATTGGAGGATCCATCATTCATACTTAACGTATGTCCTAAAAAAAAATCCACAAAATTCATTGGCTTTAATTTTAACAAACACAAAATAATATCAAGATTCCTCTGGAAACATAAGTTTGTTTGCTTAATTTACTGTCAGTAAGGTTTTCGCTTTAAGATGTCGTTTAAATTAGAAATGAGAAAAAGTATCTACAATTTGGTTGAGCTGATGCCCAAAGCTAAAATCTCTCGAATATTTCAGAATGAAAACATTTCACACAGAATCATTTATCGAACAATAGCGGAGTGCGAGGAGGGAATGCTGTCTGAATCTCCGAAAAAGTGGAAGTCTCAGTGCATTTACAGCACAGAGGTCAGAGAGATTGGTGAGAAGAGCAACAAATCAGGTTGGAATGTCAACAAGGAGACTTGCTCGTCAATACAGATCTTCTAAGAGTACAATATCGTTGAAATTGAGGAGGAATGGTCTTAAATATCGAAAGAGACTTAAGTGCCAAAAATACTCTTAAGCGCAACTCCCACGTATACCAAGATGCTGTCGTCAACTGAGGCACATCTTGGCAATGGAAAAATCACAATTTTAGGTTACGAAAACTATTTCACTGTGAGTAATCCTGTAATAAAAGGATACAACAAATTTTATATAGACACCGTAGAGGAGAATCCTTGTCTAGTCTGCAATTCCTAACATGGGTGTATCCCAACCATTTGTGGGAAGAGTGAGGGGTGAAGCTTTGAATAGTCTATATATTGGTAATTGCCTTTCCAAATTCCTTCAGTTTGTCTACGAACATCATGCTAATGACCATGTCATGTTTTGGCCAGTAGAATAGGCCACTCCACACAATTCGATAGTATAGTTTAGTTAAGTATTGAGTTACAATTTATGGTAACTAGTTAGTGTTTGAATAAATTTCTTCATAAAAAAAAGCCGATAAATATTTTGTGTCAAAACTTTCAGGATATACACTACGTCAAACGTCTGTACAATATTGGCTCAATGTGTGTACCACGTGCACTTATGTCTGGTCGGCAAATCTTGTTTTTAAACTATCATGGATAGCGCTACTTTTATACAAACTAACCTTGTATGTATGCTTTACACAGCTTACTCCAATCTTTAAAGTAGCCTTTTAGGTGAATAATATATATATATATATATATATATATATATATATATATATATATATATATATATGTAAATACAAAGTGACAACAGCAGTCGCGATTTTGATATATTAGAAACGTTGTCTATAACAAAGCTGATGTCTGAAGATGAGCATCCAAGCAATATGTATAACGTACAACTATTCTGCAGTTCCTCCATAAAAAGATTCTTCACTGGACGTAAATATACAATTATACTATTTTATGGCAATAAAACTGTACTTTACGACTTTCTATAGCACAGCTTGAGAAGTTGCAGTTGCAGTTGTTAGTTTACGCGATTATTATCGGCCATAAAATAAACATGGAATACTTTATGTCTCGAGAAAACATGTTGATTCAATAAAGTACGTATGTTTTGAAGGGAAGCAAAATAAAAGCTTCAATCTATGGAAGTTACTCAAGATCCCCGAAGTGCATGGTTACCCGCATTGCGGATGACCATCTAGCTAATTTCCTAACTAGCATATGGTACACAGTTTCTGTCAAGAACGCCAACTCCTGGCGACGACGACGTAATTGCATCGATGATTGAAATGTTTGCACTATGCATCGTACCATTGATTGAAAGATGTGTAAAAGCCTCTAGATTGTGAACATTAAAAACGCAACTGCAATAGCTCTGATGGAAAAATTAAGGGGTCAAATTAGAAAAAGTTTTTGAAGATTCTTCTTTTGAGAAGTATTTAAAAACTACAAATGACTAGTTGTTGGATCTTTTAGTTAACATTTTAACTTGTTTTCAATTTTAGTGTTTTTAGCAGCAATAAACGTGATCCTCTACCTTCTTTGAGAGTTTGATCGCTTCAAACAGAAAACGTGTGGGGTAGATCAAAGTGAAATTTTACACAGTAATTGTTAGTACATGGAGCTGCGAAAGTCACGCTCAACACTAGCCATTTTGTCAATGTTTGCAATGTATCCCTTGATGTCTTAAAAACTATAAATAAACACCTTTTCCTTGCTTTCTCTTCCAGTCCATATGCAGGATTAAACTTTTTCCTGCAAATAGTCCTTGATACTATTGAAACAGCCATTAGATTTTCTGTATTATGATTTGTTCTTAAGATTCCGATATTAAATGGTAATTTTTCATTGAACATTCGACATCTCAACACGAAATGACTGTATCAAGGTTTTGAGAAAAGGCAATTGAAGCTAAGTAAACAAGCTATTAAGTACATGTAATGGTCTAGCGAAAAAAAAATCGTAATACTTTTCCTTCAGTAAGGCAATACTTTTATTTGATGCTGCCATGCGAAAAAAAGCTCAGGAAATCAGGCCCGGTGTTTTTTTTTTGGCAAGGAGTTGCTGCTTCGACCAAGCCTTTCGATTTGAACAGTGCCCACTTAAGGACGCACGTCCCTTTTTCGGTTTTTGTAACTACCTGTTTGCAATATTATTCTAAATCCTTTTCATCTGATTATTTCATGGTATGTATGAAGTTGACTAAAAAGCGATGCTATCAATTGTTTTTGTCAATAAAAGCATATTTTGTGCATTTTTTGTGCATTCTTTCTTCAATCGTAACTTGTTAATAAGTACAAGTACAGCTCTGATAATGCATGTGAATATTCCGCTTTTACGGAAGAAAGAAACGACTAATTACTTTTATTCTTATTACTGTTTCTCTTAGAAAAATCTTTAATTTTCTTGAAACCTCAGTTTGTATCGAATAATCAGACGAAAAGGATTTAGAATACTGCTGCAAGCAGGTAGTTGAAAAAAGTGAAAAAAGGAGCGTACAGCCTTATTCCATCCAAATTTCATCGATGCCAGATTTATCTTCCGTTTATCTAGTTTTTTCAATAACGAGTAGACGGCCAGACCACCAGAATCAGCAGCATTTAGTGGTCAGAGTGGTAACCCGGCTGTGAAATGCGAACTGAAGTTCATTTCAAGCAGACAGATTGCTTTTACTTTCGCAGTGGTCAATTGTTGTAATACACGGCACTTTGTGCTATCTTATTCCATTAATATCTAACATTCGAATCTTTTCTTTCAAATTTTTTCAAGGTGCATCCAAACATATTGCACGCATGGTCGCGTGACATAAGTGGAAAGCACGCCCGAACGGACTACCAGACTTGTTGCTTTGAATCTTGCCGAGCAGATTCTTCTTCGTGAGCGGGAACAATAAATATATGTGCATTATTTAGATGTATAGCGATTCGCCTGTTGCCAATTTCCCTCATGTGGTTACAGTCCGTATGAAATAATTTAAATAATACATGACCTCATTCCCTTCGCATCACATTGTACGCAACAATCGTCACGTAATAATAACAGGAGGTTTGACAGCAGATGCTGCCGACATGGTATTTGGCTTTTCCAATTATCACAGTTTAAAATATAGCAGCTAGTTAGAGCTGCGGTGTAGTCCATTCGTGTAGCATCCGCGTCACAGCATACACCATTCTACAGAGCAATGTGACTATAAAAGCTAGCCCGAATTCTTTGTGCGAATTTGTATAGCCATTAGAGCTCAGTTCTGAACAAAGTATTCGAACAGGCTAGAAAAGGGTTACATGGTTACATTGCATTGTATCTCAGCAACTTTTTGTAGTTTTAGTTAAATATTGCCTACCATGGCTACCAAAGTGACAAGCCAATACATTGGCGTACTTTTTCTTCTGAAGAGGTGTTCTGTTAACCAATCATACTGCTTGTACCGTATTGCGATTTATGATAATGAACACAGAAAATTAAATAAAGCAAAGGCTCGAAAGTAAAAATATTTATTACCGACTTATACTTAATTTGTGATTTTGGAAGTTGAAAAATACGAAAAAGTCTCTTCATTAAACAGCGGCAATGACAAAATACCCGATATTGGAAATAGTGGGACACTTGGCTTGAATTCTATCCCGTTTTTATAAATAGTTGTTGTGATACGAGCAGATTCTTGATTTATATAGGAAATTGCTGATATTACATCATTACAACTACATTTATCCAATAAAAAGCAATTGAATTAGCTCGCTATTTATAGCATTATTTTCATTACAATACCTACAAGAAATGGCTCATCAAAAAAATATAATTTGCCATCAAGTATCGAGTAGTTTGAAAATGCTTGAGCTCAAGTCATGTAGAATAATAAACAGATCAGATCAACTAAAGCATTAACGCTTGAACTAATTTTATTATCATGTCAAGTAGTTTATGAAAATATCAAACTCCTTGACTTGATGAATTCTTAACAGTGAAATTGGAGATGTTCTACAAAATACCCTTTTTTGAGCAACATGTTCTTCTTCAGAACATATATTTTTCTTCGCCGTAATATCTATTTACACTATTTGAACAAGAGTACTAACCCTGCTGGAATGGAATGCTAATTTTGGCAAGCGGTTTTGTGTTTTGTTTCATAACGGTACCTTATAATAGAAAGAAAGAACACTGCAGTACAATTTAATTATCTTTACTTTATGATAAAATATTTCTGGTTCCAAATGTAAGCCACAAGACAATTATGCAAACCAGGCATAAACTCAAACAAGAAAACAAGACATCCAAAATATTCCCTGCAACTGTTAACCAGTCACTTGACTTTCAAATGCGCATGCCTAAGCTTGCCTAAATCTTAAGCATACCTAATTTTATTTAGGTACGAATTTGCTCTGGACGTACTTCCTCCCTGTGCGTGATGCGATGCGTGAAACCCTCGTATTGTCAGAAGTTGCTTTGCTGTGCAGTATTGTATTTGCTGCGTCCATGTCGGAAGCTGTAACTTGACGGTTTATACGAAAACGGCCATTCCGGTTTATGGGCGCAATAACAGTTTGCGCCATGCTAGCAGTGCCGTCGGACATACCACGGCCAGTTTTATTTTCCATCCGGATGTATAGCTACAAGGAAAAACTATCGCAGATTAAATAGAAAGCTTCTCTCATAGATAACTTTCAAAAATGGCATCAAATAAGGAGCTCTATATCTATCCACGCAACGCATAATGCTTGGTAAATAGGATGTTTTCAAAGTTGAGTCATTTATTTTAACAGCTTATAGAGTTCGTCAAAAATACCTATATAAAAGTTGCATAATAAGAGAGTTTTTTTTGTACTCCAACCACCATGAAGACCTAAGGCCTAAATACCCATGGGGTACCGTGGGGCTATAGAGGGATACAGGGGAAAAGAGGAATGCCACGCGGACTCTGGCGAGGGAACACGTGTGCATGCAACATGCACACATTCTGGCCCCGCCTACGAGATCCGCCGGGTGGTAACTCTGCATTTGACAGTCAGAGACCGTCTACCATCTACGGACAATCACAACATCCATAATCAAGAGAAAAATTTCTCTTGGGATGGGATTCGAACCCGCACAGCACACTGCGACTGATCGGGAGACCTAAGAGTCTACTACTGCGACCACCGCTGCTGCCTGGCCTGATTAGTTTACATTATTGAAAATTATATAAAAAATCATTATCAAGTTAAATGGATACCGTTTTTACAAAGCTGTTCAAAATTGTCCCAATTTGTTCGATTAACGCAAAACCTTGCTCGGCGAATCCATGACTCTTTAAAAGCTTCGAAAATAAAATCCTGGTGCCCACGAAATAAGTCACGAGCATTTTCAGTGCGCTGTTGAACTTCCAGGGTATTTACTGCTCCATCATGATGCACCAACTCTTTCAAATAGCCCCACAGAAGAAATCGCAAGGCGCTAAGTCCGGGGAGCGAGCAGGCCGAGAAACGGGTCTATCACTCCCTATCTATCTATTCATTATCTAAATGTTCATGAACTTCTCGTCTAAAATGTGGTGGAGGCCCCCATATATTCTGTCTCACCTTTAGAGGAATCTCTTCTATAGGCTTGGAACATACGACTCTTTTTTCTGAGCTCGCTCATTTCGTTCATCTCGTCGTTCGTTCGGAGTCGTTCATTTGAACGATACGATTACCGACCGGCCTCGAAGCTGACGAGAGTATTGTGTTACCTATAGTGACGACTCACTGAGTCAGAGAATATACATCATACTATGAAAATGAAATTAAAACACGTAAGACTGAGTTAGGGATGCCGATGTTATTGTATTTATTTAAGTATTAATATTTTTGGTTGAAATTGAATGTAACGAATGTATACTGTCTTACAAAAAAAGGGAAGGGATATGTGGTCCGGTTTTGAGGAATTACCGAATTCTGAATCAAAATACAATGTTTGCTCTCAAATCCCATCATGTTAATGTATAATTTAATGAAACATCTCAAAACAAAACACAACCGGCACGGGTATCACGTATCTTGAAAAGTGACATTATGCCGATTTTTTTGATATTATGCTGTTTTTTTTAACATCATGTAGTTTTTTCTACAAGATGTTAACTTAGCAGTTAGTTGTACGTGTTGCCTAAACATCATGAGGCTTTAGTTACCAATTTTTGGCTCTGACTTTATGTAAACTCTGCTGAGAGATGGCATTACTGGAGGTCTAAGCTGTAAGTTGTATGTGTTGATGATAATTCCATTGGATTCTTGTCTCAAATGCACTTAATCGAGATTCAAAGCTAGAAATTAATAGCGAAGCCACTTTTTCTTATACATTCTGGAAATTAGATATACAAATTTGCTGAATTTTAAAAATGAGAGAGATCACAAATAATTATATTCACTCTACACTGTCGAAGTACAAGCCATATACATGCTAACAGTAATTACACACAACGCGGGCGCGGTGATAACTCCCGTAGTTCTTTTCAGTTTTTCGTAATTTATAACTTAACCTCTCTTCAGAAAGCACAACATAAAAATAACCCGTCGGGCACAGCCAATAGATATACTTCATTGGCAGCATATTCAGTTATGATTTTCTCACACAGCAAATATCACTGATTTTATACACGTGCAGACCAATACACATAATCATCGAGATGCGGTCTTGCTATTCAACCAACTTTCTTCTCAAAGATCAAAGCTACAGACACGGATCACTCAGCCTCACAAAACTATGCAACCAATAATGCATGTAGTTTAGTTGAGTGATTCCTTCATAGTAGGTGGACGTTCACAACGATCCTAGTGAGCAAACGTGGAATGACTGTTTGCGCCCTAAAAACTACCTAGTCTGCAAGTTGACATCTTATAGGTTTTGTTTTGTAGGTCTTTACATGATACCCGTGCGGGTTCCCTAGATAGTGTCTGTACTGTTACCACGTTGTCAGCTCGCAGTTCAGCAGGTTCAGAAAGTCACTGCCGGTGTAGCCCAGGGTTCTGCGCTTGGGCCTGACCTATGGAATGCGATGTACGATGGGATCCTAAGAATCGAGCTACCGAAATGTGTCCAATTAGTGGGGTTCGCTGACGATATCGTTGCCGTGGTAACTGCCAGGGACATGGAGACTGCACGCCTAGAAACCGAGTTTGCAGCGCACTCGGTGCACTTTTGGATAAAACAACACGGCTTACAAATGGCTGCAGACAAGACCAAAGTGACCGTGCTTACCAGACAAAGACTACATTCCCTGCCCCTGGTGCTAAACTTTTCGGGAGTCACCATCACCTCTCATGAAACGGTGAAGTATTTGGGAATATGGTTGGACCAAAAACTGACATTCAAGCAACATCTCACAGAAGTGGCAAACAGAGCCACAAAAGTTGTGACCGCGCTATTTAGGATTATGCCAAACGTCGATGGTCCTAGAGCAGATAAGAGGCGGGTACTGATGAACGTCGCCAATTCAATGATGCTGTACGGAGCGGAAATCTGGGCTAACGCAATGACAATCGAAACCTACAGAAGAAGACTCGCATCAGTTCAGAGAACAGCAGCTCTGCGAATATCGTCAGCGTATCGCACTGTCGCTGAGGGGGCCATTTTGGTAGTAGCAGGCGCCATACCGATTGATCTTTTGGCACTGGAACGTCAAAGGTTGTACGACACCAGTGAAATACCAAAACCTTTCACTGCAGTCAGGCAACGGACCCTGCGTGAGTGGCAGGCAAGATGGGAGAACGATCCTAAGGGCTCCTGGACGCACACACTTATTCAGCAGTTTGAACCTTGGTACTGTAGGAGGCATGGGGATGTAAACTTCTACATCACTCAGTTTCTTACAGGACACGGGAACTTCAACCGATACCTGAACCTGCGTACCATTAAGGATAGTCCCTACTGTCGCTATTGCCAGACGGACATCGATTCAGCCGAACACACCTTCTTCGACTGTAGGAGATGGGCTGTACTGAGGAGACGGTTGGAACAACAAATAGGATTAACCTTCACACCTGAGTCGGCGGTGCCCACGATGCTTGCCAGCGAGAATCACTGGCATATGATCTCATCTTTCGTGGAGGAACTACTAAAACTGAAGAAGGCAGACGATGGAGTACAAACATCCACGAACTCCTAATCCGGCAGGTCCGGGATGGGAGATGTAGGGTGCGATTGGACGACTACTACGAGGACAACTGAAGAACAAGACGATGAAGACAAGACAGCCTGCGTGCGTGAAGTTATGCCATCTTGGCGGTTCCAGCACAAAGGCGGTTCGTAGACCCACTCGCTCCAGGTTGCGGCCTGGCGACGGTCCTATAAAAAAAAAAAAAAAAAAAAAAAAAAAAAAAAGTTCAGTTGTTGCATATTGTAGACACGCTTTGCACAATTGAACGAGTCATATGTAACAAAAGAGTCGTTCAATCATCGCTCACTGAGATGAGACGTTCATTTTGAACGAACATGACTACTCTTCTAATAATTGTGGCAGATTGTGTGTAATAAAATCTAAATAAATTTCACTGGTTAGTCAAGGTGGAAAAATTAAGGTCCAAAAAGCATGCCATTTATCACGCCAGCTCAATCATTTAATGAAAGTTTATGTTGGAAATTAGTTATTTTTACAGCATGCAGACTTTTTACTGTCCAAACATGCTTGTTGTGGAAATTCTGCACTCCATTTCCTGTTAATATATATATATATATATACAGGGTGACTTTGAAGTTGAGTCATTAATTTTCAGATAATGATTGTAGAAGGAAGATAAACCAAAATATGTGTGTAAAAATAAAAAAAATTAAAAAAAAATTTTTACCTTGTTTTATAAAGTATCCTCCCGACAAGTATTTCAGTGCGGACCTGTATTTGATCGCGAGGTCTTGGAGTACCGGCATGCCGTCTTAAGTCACCTGATTCACGAGCCCGTTGTACTACATTAACAAAGGCACGAGGGATTGGTTGCACTCGATTGGGAAACCGATCCGCATAAACATGGACCAACTGCATGGCCTCCACGGTCTCCCGATCTAAATCCTCTGGACTTCGCTTTATGGGGATACTTGAAAAATGAGGTATACTGTACTTCAGTTAAGAATATTGAAGAATTGCGTGACCTACTCACAGTGGCTGCCGATAATTTGAGCCTTCAGGCACAGCAGGAAGGGGTGAATTTGAATTAGTGCGCCGAAATGGATTAGTCGCGCCCAAGCTTGCATTGCTGTCCATAGAAACAATTTTGAGCAGCTTTCATAAGTAAGTTGAACTGTATTATTTTATTATCTCGATTTCTGTAGGACTTTTATTACTTTTTTTTTTGAGAAATCAACTTCTTTCGTAACAGTGCTATGTGGTTAAAATTTGTCAGATAAGTGGTGAAACACCCAGTATAATATTCCATTTTACAATTTTTAATTTTTTTAATTGTTGAAATCTCTAAAACCATATGATACATTTTTATTACGTACACACGTTTTATTGTCATTATTTTTGTTCTGTGATTTTCATGTTTGTGTTCTTTTCTTCCTATTTCATAAGTATGTTTTTCACGTTATTTTCCCTTGATTGAGGCGAAAACTGAACGTCGAAACGTTCTTTACTCAAAAGGGCTGATTTTTATCACCTATATAT